TTCTTTTGGCTTTCTCATATTTTAATAAGAGGTTTGTATGTAGGTCAGTCATAATCACCCACAATTCTTTATTACATAATGCAACCTATATGATGATCAAACTTTTTTGGAATACAGATTTATAGCCTTTTGAAAGTAACTTAGTTACTCTCTTACTGATATATGAAATCAATATAATTTATGTATTTGCTACATAGATGTTTTAATGTTAGATCAGCCCACTAAGACAAATTATTATGTAGCCTTAGTGTGTCTTAAGTTGTCAGAAATGTTGGTAAATTTAATCATGAAATATGAAAAAAAAGATGGTTTTTCAAAATGCGAAACCATCAGTTGCCCCTGCACTCTCTTTCATCAATGAAGTTAGATATTTAGCATTAGATGCTTATTATTTGTTATGACGGTAAATTGGGAAGCATTTAAGAAGAATACCATATTCTAATAATTAATAGAGTGTTATACTTAATTTTAATTTTTTCTAAAATTTTTGTTTTCTGAATTATGCAAGAGACACTACACTTAACTTCTCTCATGATTATGGTTGGAATGACAATGAAATAATACCTCCTAAGATGATCTAGCCGGATTAGTCTCTGCCTTCTTTTTGCTGTTCAGAAATCCTTTATATCCGTAAACTCAAGTGGAGAAGAACTATGGTCTGCGTTTGACATCATGTGTTTTCACCTTTTGCAGGGTGACTTGAAATCTATACCACCAGCCATAATATCTAGGGTGAATACTAAATCTTCCTTTCCAAACTGTCGTTGGACCTTTTCCCATACATAAAGATCCTGAATCTTATGAAAACTTTCCTTTCTCTCCTGATGTACATTCAGCTTATCAATCTTTGAGACACTGGGTTTCAAAGAGCCATGCTTGATTATCTCCCATTTGGTTTCTATAAGATAATGACCATCTTTTACTTTCCCCCGCACAACACATGCACAAATTGTATGTGAGTAGCTAATTTTATATGAATGCTTTTGTGTTACTTTACATATATGAACCTAAAAGAGTAAAACTTTCCCCCCCATTTAAAGGGGTGCGATCTATCCCTATGGGTGAGGTCATTGCAGGTCAGTGTCATGTGTCGGGGGTGGGGGAATCTGCAAGCTTACTGAATATTGGAACACAAAACTGGGAGTTAAAAAAGAAGACAGGCATTATTTCTGAATGAACCAAATATGATGCCAATGTTCCTTTGTTACACCATAATCTGAGGTATGCCCTCGAGGATCATCTTCAGATAGTAAAATTTCCCTGCAGCTCTGGGACCTATTGACTCAAATGTATCATCTTGAGAGCCTTGTGTCCCTGTCCTGAGCTATAAGCTGGTGCCATAAACTATTTAGGAGATAGTAGATAAAGACAGTCGATGGCTACAGAAGTGCCGGGAAGGCTTCTCTAGTTCTAAACAATAAATCAGTGGGTGACTTTTTCCTCATACAGGAATAATTGCTCACTCTATCAAGCCTTTTTTTTTTTTTTTTAGAAATAAATTTTACTTCTTTATAAATTGCCCAGTTTCAGGTATTCTGTTACAAGCAACAAAAATGAACTAATACAAGTCCTTAGCATATTAATCTTAGTTTAAAGGAAAACAAGGTCCTAGTTTGATAATTCCGACATTCCTGCCATATCTGATGCTTGCTCAGTCTCTTCAAACTGCATTTTTTCTTGCCTTTTAGTACACCTTATAATGATGCACTAAATAAAGGAAACTGTAGCAAATAGGCCTTCAGTAATGTGAGGGTAAAGAGGGAGGGGAGGGGAAGTGTCTATAGCACTACGGTGAGGTCTCAGTGTCCTTAGTGAATCTGTGCCCCTGGACTGTGAACTTCGGGAGTGCGGCTTAACCTTCTTCCTGCCCCCTCCGCAGGTGGGATGGCTGGAGGGGGCTGCACTTGGGCATTTCCCTCCCCCAGGTCAACTAGACTCTGATAAAACTTCAAAAAGGTTAGACTGTATAAAATATAGGTCCTCCTAGGGCAAGCCTTGTGAAGAACAGACTGCTCTGGGGTATTTCAGAATGGGTGCTTTTCTGTCACCATTGCTGAAAGCACAAGAGGATTTTTTACAATCTTCTCTTTGAGAACTTAGTAGAGTTCCAGGAAGTAAAACTCCAAAAGCTTAGGGTTTCCCAAGACTCAGTCCCCCTGGAGTTTTTAATTCTCAGGCTTGTCCACACTGAAGACAGAGAATCAAGTCTTTTTGGAGGCAGTGAAAATGCAGTGGAAAGAACACTAAACTTGGAGTCAGAAGACTTGGGTATGAACTGCTTTTTAGTTTTAGCAAAGTTTTTAACTCTGAATTTCAATGTCCTTTTCTGGAAATTGGAGTTAATTACCATATTTTATGGGAATTAACTAAGAAAGCATAAAATTGTGTTATAAAAGACAGCAACATAAAAATAGCAGTATTTAATGTTAGCATTAACTACTCAGAAAGGTATTTCTGTTTTTCTATGTGTAGAACCCAACTCTTTCCAATAAATAATACATGTAGAAACTTATCAATGTACTTAAATTCATTGTGTCTCAGTGTATTGCATGAGCCCCAAATCTTAGAGGCACTTGCTATGTGTTTGCCTGTTCCAAAAAATTCACACAGTATTTCAATGGGTAGGGACATCGATTTATTAGATTTACAGCTGTCGCTGATGGTTTCCAGACAGATAGATAGCCACACCTCCATGGGGTACATACAACAGTTATATAGAACAGATCAAAGCAGGGGTGTTAATGGTTTGCAAGCTTATGCACAAACCCTCACCCAGCTCACAACTCGGAGCACACGGGAGATCTGGCTGACTAGATAAGTTGACCCACTTGCTACTCTCCTGGCACCAGAGTGCTTTAACACCAGCATCCTAATTTATTTTCTTAGGGTCCCTGCTTCCTCCATTCTTCCATGTTTTAAAGGGAACATACCTTTCCTTGAGTAACTACCTTGGCCAGGGGTAGTTTCCCAGCGGGGAGGGGAACTCTGGTATGCACGGGGAGGGGGAACAGGTCTATGTCCAGCATGCACCCTACCTTCCACCCCTACACACGACTGTTCCACCCTCACAGTCTTTGTGCCACATTAATCTTCTGTATGTCCCTAGGTGGAATAGCAAATTGTGCATAGTCCATAGCAGACCTAACGTGGCAGATAGTGGGAAATCTGAGCAGACCCAGCAGACCGATCTATTATGTACTCAGGCCAAGATTGCAGCCCACTGAAGATAGGTGTTCCCTGTGGTCATACTAGGGATGATAAAGATCTTTAACAGGTACTAAAAGCGGTAAGTCATGTTTATCAGGTGACACACAAGTGACAGTTTTATCTTGAGACAATATAGTTACACTAAGGGGGGCTTCCCCAGCTTAGCATACCAAGCTCTATCAGGTCCAGGGGCTATTTAATCTATGATGGGGGGAGGGTCCTGAAAACTCCAGAGAGAAATAATAATAGTCCCTTTCTGTATAATCTGGTCTGCAGGGTTGTGACATCTCAAGGTATTTTGCCCATTGCCCTATCACTGCTGGAAAGATCTCTAACCCCCTTTCTATTCCTTCACCCCAGGGAGAACCAGCATGGTTCAGTTTGAATATCCCAGGCCAATGGAGTGTACTGACTCCAGGTCCTATGTCTTCAGGGGCTGGCAACAAGTTATTTTCACCTCCCCACTGAAGTCTTAGTGAAGTCTCTAAAATCCTAATTTGCAGTCTTATAGCTGCTGTCCAAGGCTGCATCGATGTGTCCAGTAGGAAGGGGCGTCCAGATCTGGGCCTCTCATTCAGTGTCCACAGGGCTTCTGCTAACCTTCTTGTCCACCCCTGCAGGGTGTGCTGTTCCATCTTCGAGGCCTCCGTAAGCATTCCATTGTATCTTTCTATGAGGCCTGCTCCAGTGGGACTATAGGTAAGATGAGACTTCCAAATGATGTTATGGGCATCAGCCCATTGTTATATCTGTTGTCCAGTGAAATGGGTGTCTTGATCACCCTCAGTGACTTCAGTGCTTCCATAGGCAGCCATGAGCTGTGCCAGTCCTCTGATTGTTGTTCTCTGGGTGGCCCGTTCGTTGGGGTAATCTTGCATAATACCTGTACAGGTGTCTACACAGATTAATGAATAATGAGACCTCTCTGATAAGGGGAGCAGCCCTATATAGTCTATTTGCCAATGATTCAGGGGTGCATCTCCCCTACACGCCTGTCCCATCTCTTGGGGAAGCTTGTGTGGGTGTCATTCCATGCAGACAGTACAGTTCTGACAAGCAACCACAATGTCAGCATACCGGACTGGTAGCTCCCAGGCTTTGGCCACTTCTCACAGTGTCTTTTGCCCAGCCTGTTTCATTTTCTTGTGTAACCAGACAGCCACATCCTTGGAGGGGGCTTCTACCAGCCATCTCACATGGGCAAGGGCATTGGCCTCATCATTGCCCGGGCTGCCCAATGGGTTGTGTCCAGACCCATGGTTCATAGCCACTGATTTATGTTGGCTGATTGCATATATATCTTGCAACATGTCCTGACTCCACAGGGGCTTATTCATGATCAACCCGTCCTGTTTTTTCCACTGGGGCAGCCACAGTGTGAGCACCTTAAAAACTGCTCAACTGTCAGTACAGATGGTTACCGGGCCTTTCTCTTTAGCTCTCAACATCCATGCTGCTCACAGTTAAGCCCACTGGTGGCTTTGCACAGTGCTATCATCCGCCCCGATGGTATCAGTTGATGGTTGGTATGCAATGGCTTTCCATCAAGGGGGGTACCTTCGGCAGGAGCTGTCGGTGTACCAAGCCTCTTCTGGCACAGGCAGCACACGTTCCTTAATGGGCAAGGGAGTCAGTACTGTGGATTCAGTGGGTGCATCATCTGAGTTCATAAATGTGATGGTCCCAATAACCGCTGTAGTTTGTGGCTCCAAGGACTTGTGGGTAAATTACTGTATTGTTGTAAGTTGGCACGCCACTTGGTCACTATAGTCATCTGAGCACTGGAACTGCAGGGTCACATAGAGATGTCATAAATCCATCCAGCAATTGGCAATGCAGTCCTCACTGTCACAGCTGCCTGTCCAGTGGCTGATTCTGTGGCTAGCAGTGCTTGACAAACAGCATTTACTTGTTCAATGGGGCTATATTGGGCCTCTGCTTTTTACCACATCAGGGGCCAAAACCCTATGGGGAGGCGAGCTTTCTCCTGTCATTGCCATAACCCCCAAGCATAGCCCTCCTGGGAAATATTTACATCCAATTCACAGGGTAGTACTGGATTTAGAATGCCCAATGCTTGCTCGCCCCCTACTGCTGCTTTTGCAAAACCGAAAGCAGCTTGGCACTCAAAAGTCCAATCCCATCGTGCTAATTCTGACAGATAACCCAGGTCCCTGGACCTCATTTTGGTTTATAGTCCATCCCTTTCTCTGTAGGTGAGTGATAAGGGATGGTGTAGCTTCCTCCAAATCTGTAAGAGAATCAGAGGTTAGCATAATGTCATCAATATAATGGACTAGTCTCACTGACAGAGCCATCCATTTTTCCAAGTCTTCCATGACCATCCTGTGGCAGACGGTAGGACTATGCAGGTGGCCCATGGGCAGAACCATGACTGTCCAGTGGCATCCTTCCCTCATGAAGGTGAATTGGTCTTGACTATCTGCATGGATATCAGTACTAAAGAAAGCATTAACCAAGTCTAATACAGCATAATATGTTCCCAACTGAGTTCCTAATTTATCCATAATATCAATAATATTAGGTACAACCATATGTCAAGGGAGAATTACCTTGTTTAGTTCCCTGGAGTCCACCGTCATTCTCCAGGTGCTGTCTGGCTTATGGATGGGCCACACAGGGGAGTTATATGGACTATGGGCTAGGCATATGATTTTCACCTTGGTTAATTCCAGTATAGTTTCCCCAATTTCCTTGTGAGCCCCTAGCAACAGATATTGCTTAGTTGCCATTACTCACCGGGGTGATGGAAGTTGCCCCCGAGGGTGCTGTGCTTTATCTCTCTGTACCTCTTTCACAACCGCATTTCATAGGTGAAATTCCCCCACACTGGCATGCAAACATAAATCTTGCAGTATATCAGTCTCATGTATGTATTCCCTGATTGAGGAGATATAAACAGCATGTTCCCTGGTGGGAGCCAACCAATCCTTAAAGTTAAAATCACCTTTCTTACTTTAATGGATTGCCCACCATACCTATCTGTAGCCATAATCGGCCCCTCAAATTCTGAAAGATTCCCATAAATCAGTGTACATTCAGATCCTAGATCTACCAAGGCAATTACCCTTTGTATGTTCTGCAGAGACCAATATATAGCGAGCTCAACATGGGGCCTCCATCCATAGAGACAGCTCGCATTTCCTCCATCCCTCAACCCCACCCCTAGGCTCGGGACTAAGGGACCATGAAATCTGTCTTGTCTTCCTCTGGAGGAGCACTCGGCTCCCCTTGGTGTGAACTAAAGAGGCCCCTCATAAAGGATGATCCCATGAATTCCTTCAGCTTTGGCTCTGCCTGAACTCCCCCTAAAGGAGTGTGTCCCCTTATCAGCCTAGTCTCCAGCTGCTTTTCTGGCAGCGGATGGAACCTTTTCTCTGTGGGGCAACTATTGCCACAGTTTAAGAAAAGATGCATTTAGCTTCTTATTTATTTTGGGGGGATTGACCCCTGCCATAGTTAGGTCCACCTGCAGCTGTGTTCTGGTAACTTTCACTAGTTCTTTCTGATCTCCCTTTTCCCCTTTCTTTTCCCTTTCAATGTAGCTTCCTTGTGAATCCCTTTCTTTTTTGTGGGGGGGGGAGCGGCTGGCCAGTTTGGGGGTCCAAACCCATGACCTTGGTGTTGTAAGGCTATGCTCTAACTAACTGAGCTAACTGGCCAGCCCAAATCCCTTTCTTTTGTCATTTAATTTCAGTTTCCCCTAGATCAGCTATGGCTTGTGCTGCCATTTGAACTGATTGCCCTATTAGGGGTGTCAAAACAGATACCAATGCTCCATAGCAGCTCGTGGGAGCTGACTGTATACCCGTGTCTTTCATTCCTCCAGTAAATTGCACCAAGTCTGGATCACGTAACGGGTCTCAGTAAATAGCATGTCTCATACCCAGTTCCCTAAGGAATTCTTGCTACTCCTCCATAGTAGACCCCCAAGGGGGTACCCCCAGGATGCTCCATTCATTAGGCCAGGTGGCACGGCAGCCTGTGATGATCCAAGTCAACAGGGAGGCAGTCTCATCATATTGCCCTGCTCCATAAATGTGCTGTCAGAGAGAGGGATGATTGGTGATGGATGCCATTTTTTTTTTTGTCTTTTTTTTTCGTGACCGGCAACGGATCGCAACCCTCAGTGTCGCGCCCATACCGGACCGGGACGGCAATGGGATCGCATCCCACGGTGTTGCTCCCACACCTCGCTCAGCCAGTGAGCGGCCGGTCTGTATGTGGGATCCGAACCCTCAGCGGGAGTGCCACCGCACTCCCAAGCGGTGCACTGTAGCAGTGCGCCACCGGGCCGGCCCTGATGGATGCCATTTTTGCCAGCTCATCCCCTGACAGTATTATGCCATCAGCCCCCTTATCCCACAAATGGAGCTGCCACCCGGGAATGCTTTCTCTCCCTTTCTGCCAAAACTTAGTAGCCAGTTCTACCAGCTCTGCGGACATGTAAGGGTGGGCGCTCGTATGCGTATATTTTAGCAGAGAAGGTAAATTTGGGGCGTTTTGCCCTTCTGGCAGCTCTTTTCTACTCTTAAGCTTTTGTATTATTACTTGTCTAGCCTGAAGATTTCCTGCTTCATCATCGATTACCTCCACCTGGAAGTTCTCATCTCTCTCATTTTAAGTATCGGTCTCAGCAGTGGGATCCCATTTTCTAGGATTCCACTCTGGATTTGTAACTACCACGTGGATCTTAGTCCACAGCAGCCACTTTCCTTGTATTTTCCCAAAACGGTATGCCAAATCCTGCAGCTGGTCAGTGGCTCAGTCCAACTGACACACTATCATATCCATCATGCCATCAGCCCGAGTTAAACGAGCCTCTCTTTCTGGTCTTAATTCTTCCCTGAGCCTTTGTCCTTGATTTTGTGACTCGATTTCCTTCTCAGTCACTAGCCTGAGCCCGCAGAGGAAAGGCCATGCCATTGAGGCAGCATGGCCTTGTATTCTTTTTTCCTTTGAATACCTCCTCTTTCTTTGACTGCTTCCAACACCTCCAGCAGTCCTGCCTCTGTTTCTGGAGTGTCCCCACACTCACGCAGCAGTCCCCAGCTATTTACCAAGCTGGCAATATTAGACAACATCAAACCGGTGGCCCACCCAGGTATTTCCCCCTGCAACATTCCTCCCATCCTGTTCGTCTCTCCCACAGCTGCTTTAAAGGTGAATTTCTCTGGAATAGCCTGCCTCCTACACCAGTTATATCATGGGAGCCCCAAATGTGAGAGGGCACTCACGTAGTGTTTGCCTATTCCAAAAAACTCACACAGTATTTCAATGGGTAGGGACATTAGTTTATTAGACTTACAGGAGTCACTGACAGCAGCCAGCCAGCTAGATATCCACACCACCATGGAGTCCTTACAACAGTTATATAGTGGACAGGTCAAAGTAGGGGTGTAAATCATTTGCATGCTTATGTGCAAACCCTCACCCAGCTCACAACTCAGAGCACACGGGAGATCTGGCTGAATAGATAAGTTGACCTACTCCCTACTCTCCTGGCACCAGAGTGCTTTAACTCCAGCATACTAATTTATTTACATACTGTCCCTGCTTCCTCCAGCCTTCCACTTGTCTGGAAGAGGACATGCCTTTCCTTGAGGAACTACTTTGCCAGGGGTAGTCTCCCAGGAGGTGGGGGACCTCTCGTATGCACAGGAGAGGGAACAGGTCTATGTCAGCATTTACCCTACACTCAGTTTCCTAATGTAAAATGCAAATTAACACTGCCTGTCTCATAGAGTTGTGGTAAGGACTAAAAGAATTAATTTATGAGGGTACTTCAAAAAATTCATGGAAAAAATCCTATTATCTTTCAGTTCTATTTTCCACAAACTTTCTGACATATCCTCACATGGAAAACATCCAGTATAATGCCTGGACATGTTTGTTTTCAACATAACTCAGATTTTTTTTTTTCCTTTTAACCACAGACTGCACACAAAAGCATCCCAGTGAGCTGCTACCATCCTAAAGGACTCCTCCTCAGTGGCATTCTGACTTCTTCATGCTATGTGCTTCTTTTAAGGTGCATTAAAATGGGTATTAAACTGTTATTAGTGTAAATACTATAGCTATATTCATAATTTATATCATTTTAGAGGTGGATAAATCTACCACATTTAAGTCAAAGCCACCTGATGACCAAGAGAACAATTTGTAAAGCTTTATTGTGGCTACTCAGATATATTTGAAAAGATGGACTATGTAATAAAATCAAAGAATCTCAAAATCCTAAGAGATATAGACAGCACATATAGGATAATCTTGCATGCTCATTAGGAATATCTCTCATCACACCCCTGAATGAATGCCTTCTGATCTATACTTAAACCCTCACAGTGATGGTGAACACACTTTTTCACAAGGCAACTTATCTCACTAAGCTTTTTTTCCTTTCTACACTGAAATAAAATCTAAAGATTTTTTTTTCTTTTTTAGTTCCATACCCTTTTGCTTGTTATTCACCGTGGAAAGCACACAACAAAGCTAAATAACAGCTTTTGAAATATTTGAAATCAAGTGTCATGTTTCTGCCTGTCCAAATAAAGTACCCCATGGGAGCTTTTACAGTAGATGGGATAGAAGCATTGGCTCTGGAATCAGACTTGGGTTTTAATCTTAACTTTATCACACAGCTGGAAACTGACCGAGCTATTAAACCTCTCTGTGCTTTATTTTCTTCTCCTAATTAACTGGATTGTTTTAAGACTTAAATAAGATTAAAAAACAAAAACTATAAAAAATCATAGCAACTTGCAAATGCTCAATCAATATTAACTGTTATTTACATTAAGTAATTTTCATATGAAATGGTTTACAGCCACTTTACCAATTTATAATCTTCCTTTGAATGTACTTAATTAAAGTTGCTTTTAAGGTGCATTTGCTAGAAGGGCTTATAAGATAATAATTGATTATTTATTAAATCCTATCTTAGATAGTGATGCTCATTGTAGGTATCTACATAATCCCAGACATTTTTATACAATTGAAGTAGAGGTGTTGCAATATTACCACATGCAGTGACTTAAACATGTCAGAGACAGGCAAAAATAGGAAGGGGGGGTTAATGAGGAATTGGTTAACCGACACAAAGAATGATTACGTATTGTAATGATGAATAAGCTAACTATCCTGATCTAACCATCACATATTGTATGCAGCTACTGAAAATAAACTTTGTACCCCACATGTTTGTATAATAAATTATCTTAAAAATAAAAT